TTACCCCTTGCTGTACGCAATGAACCCCGATATGTGTATGTGTATATGCTGCAGTCTCCGGTAGTTTGTTCAGTCCACCTCTACCCCTTGCTATACCCAGTGAACCCCGGTATGTGTATGTGTATGTGCTGCAGTCTCCGGTAACTTGTTCAGTCCAACTTTACCCCTTGCCGTACCCARTGAACCACGGTTTGTGTATGTGTATGTGCTGCAGTCCCCAGTAACTTGTTCAGTCCACCTTTACCCCTTGCTGTACCCAGTGACCCCCGGTATGTGTATGAGTGTGTGTTACAGTCCTCGATAACCTGTTCAGGCCACCCTTACCCCTTTGCTGTAACCAGTGACACCYGGTATGTGTGGGTGTGTGTGYTGCAGTCCCCAGTAACGTGTTCAGCCCACCCTTGCGATGCTCYGGTGATCTTTCCCCTTGTATAGATGCTTCAAATCTTGAGTTGTCACTGATATGATGCATGTGTAAGTTGCGAATTACCTTGGGGTGCCTTGACGAACTTTCCTCTAAACATATTGCTTTTAATCATGTTATTTGACTGTAATGCGTGTATGTGTATGTGCTGCAGTCCCCCGTAACTTGTTTAGTCCGCTTTTACCCCTTGCTGCACCCGGTGAACCCCGGTATGTGTATGTGTATATGCTGCACTCCACGGTAATTTGTTCTGTCCACCGCTACCCCTTGCTGTACCCAGTGAGCCCCGGTAKGTGTATGTGTATGTGCTGCAGTCCCCGGTAACTTGTTCAGTCCACCTTTACCCCTTGTCATACCCAGTGAACCACGGTATGTGTATTTGTATGTACTGCAGTCCTCGGTAACTTGTTCAGTTCACCTTTACCCCTTGTTGTACCCAGTGAACCCCCGTATGTGTTTGAGTGTGTGGTGCAGTCCCCGGTAACCTGTTCAGGCCACCCTTACCCCTTTGCTGTAACCAGTGACACCCARTATGTGTGGGTGTGTGTGTTGCAGTCCCCGGTAACCTGTTCAGCCCACCCTTACTCTTTGCTGCAACCGGTGACCTGCGGTATGGGTAGGTGTGTGTTGCAATTCGGTAGCCCCGCTCAGTCCTTCCTCTTTCACGTGACCGGTGCCTTCCGAGAGTAGTATGAGGTGGCCGGGCACGCGGGGTAGAAAAGCGGGGCATATGGTTAAGAGTTAGGTTGTGTCCGATAAGCTTTCACTGTCACCTCCACTCCTCCAATCTCGAACACCTCCAACCCCTCTTCTTCCTCCATCACCCATACCCGTCCACCATAGCCAACCACCTCCAACCCTTCTTCTTCCTCCATCACCCACACCCGTCCGCTATAGTCGACCACCGCCGACCCTTCTTCCTCCTCCATCACCCACGCCCGTCCACCATAGCCAACCACATTCAACCCTTCTTCTTCCTTCATCACCCACACCCTTCCACCATAGTCGACCAACTCCAAACCTTTTTTTTCCTCTATTACCCACACCCATCCACCACAGATGACCAGCTCCAACCCTTCTTCTTCCTCCATCACCCACACCCGTCCACCATAGCTGACCAGCTCGAACCCTTCTTCTTCCTCCATCACTCACACCCGTCCACCATTGCAAACCACCTCCAACCCTTCTTCTTCCGCCATCACCCACGCTCGTCCACCATAGCAAACCACCCCCAACCCTTCTTCCTCCTCCATCTCCCACACCTCCTCCATCTCCCACACCCATCCACCATAGCCGACCACCCCCAACCCTTCTTCCTCCTCCATCACCCACACCCGTCCACCATGGCCGACCACCCTCAACCCTTCTTCCTCCTCCATCACCCACGCCCGTCCACCGTAACCGACCACCTCCAACTCTTCTTCCTCCTCCATCACCCACACCCGTCCACCATAGSTGATTACCTCCAACCCTTCTTTTTCCTTCGTCACCCACACCTGTCCACCGTAGCTAACCACCTCCAAACCTTCTTCTTCCTCCATCACCCACACCCGTCCACCATAGCCAACCAGCTCCAACCCTTCTTGTTCCTCGATCACTCACATCCGTCCACCATAGCCAACCACCTCCAAACCTTGTTCCTCCATCACCCACGCCCGTCCCCCATAGTCGACCACCTCCAACTYTYTTTCCTCCTCCATCATCCACACCGGTCCACCATAGCCGACCACCTCCAACCCTTCTTCCTCCTCCATTACCCACACCCGTCCACCATAGCCGACCACCTCCAACTCTTCTTCCTTCTCCATCACCCACACCCGTCCGCCATAGCCGACCACCTCCAACTCTTCGTCCTCCTCCATCACCCACACCCGTCCACCATAGCCGACTACCTCCAACCCTTCTTCTTCCTCCATCACCCACACCCGTCCACCATAGCTACCCACCTCCAACCCTTTTTCTTCCTCCATCACCCACACTCGTCCACCATAGCCGACCACCTCCAACCCTTCCACCTCCATCACCTACACCCATCCACCATAGCCGACCACCTCAACCCTTCCTCGCTTATCACCTCCCTCATCCATTCGAGGGCCGTAGGGGCCGCATGGGGGCACGGGAAACGGGTAGGTCCGGTTAGGAAGAGGCAAGGGTCAAGGTCGATTTGGACGTGAGACTTCTCTCTCTCTCTCTTTCTCTCTCTCTCTCTCTCTCTCTCTCTCTCTCTCTCTCTCTCTCTTTCTCTCTCTCTCCCCTTCAAACCCTTTAACCCTTACCTCTTCCCTCTCCCCTTCCCCTTCATGGCGCGTAACTAACCTCTCCCCTCACCTGTTACAGTGTCAGGGGACGAACGGTAACGAACTTGATCCTCACTTGGTGGAAAGTGAGGGCAAGGGGAGGGCTACCGGTCCCTTGCGTCACCAAGAAGGAAAAGCGCTAGACTGCCAAGAAGGTGAGCGTCCGGGATGGGTTGAGCGGGACWGGATCTGCGGGAAACACGGGCAAGGATGGAGGAACGGGATAAGGGAAGGCCTTAAACTTAGCCTAACTATGAATGTGGGAGGGGATTGAGGGTCTGATGCTTGGATGAGTGGCGGATGATGCGGTATGGGTTGCATGGTGSCTGAACGGGATGAGTCTCTCCTGTGCAATGCGACGCCTGGAAAGACTAAGGGTGGTCTTGGATAGGTGGATGTGATGCTAGTGACTCTCGCAAAAAAAACTTGCGGCTAGGGGTCCAGGCGACTCCGCCGCACCCCAAGGATGCCGACGGGGCTGCCCCGAACCACTAGACTTAGTAAAAAGGTGTGTGGCCCAATGGATGACGCTTGGCCAGCGCACGGTAAGAAGACAAACTCTCAATGAACTCCCTGGACTGCTTGTATATTGGAAGGAGCAATTGTCTGGTTAGACTTAACTGAATCGAGAAAACGCCACGAGTGCCCAAAGAGCTACCATCTTGACGCGAGAGCGGAGCTACATCCCCCAATGTAAAGCCCTCTCGCAAAAAKGCCCATCCCCACCCATATCATAGCACTAGGTGGGGGTGCCCCTGGGACGAACGACCCGGGCCCTGAGCGTGAGCGTGGGCGGGTCGAGCCAAATGAGACCCGCAGTGGGGTCGACCGAGGCTCGAAAGTCCTTCAGGGTACGGCCCCTACAATGGTCCCTCCACTTTAGGCTTGGTTTCAACGAACTTGATGCTAGAGACCTGCGACTCCCTTATGGACACGCCTCCCGGTGCCTCTGTTATTTGGACGCGGGAGGAGCTGGAGGTCCCGCCGACCTCAGGCTTCTTTCCTAGTCTTGCCTCTTCTAGGGCAATCCTCTTATCCACGTTTATCTTCATCGAGGGGTAGAAAGAAACTGCTTCTCCATCATTTCCCCACACGACCCTCTTATTCTAATTCAACTTCACCACTCCTAACCTTAGGGCCTTTGTGAGGTGAGGACACTCTTGCTTCATGTGACCGTCTTCATTGCAGTAGACACACCCGCTCCGAGGCTGCGGATTGTTAGGGCGAGGCCCCACTTGAGGCACTGTCCCTACGGTCGGCGAAGGACCGGGTGGCTACGAAGCCCTAGGCTGACTCACCTCTGGCCGAGCTCCCGTGGCCTTGGGTTGGGGAGGGTCTCCCTACCTTCCATCTCTCACGTCCTTCCAATGGGAATTCCCCTAATCAGGGCCCCGATTTCCTCCAATCTCCCGGTCATTTCTCCAATTCCCCTGGTTTCCTGTTGATCCTCCTCCCAAACGCGGGCTGGGTGGTCCAGGCGACGGCGTATCGTTTGTACGAGGACCGTCGTTTTTGTGAGGGCGCATACTTCGGAGAGCCATGTCAAGGCTTTCCTTCATGTATTCTTTGATGTCCACTCCTCCTCCCGTGAAGACCACCTCGGCGAGCTTTTAAAAATTCGTCGAGTCCCTGGGCGCTTTCTCGAGGACTTCTTTCCTCTTTTCCTCGGGTAGGTGTAACATGAACATAACACACCTATTTACTTCCGATAGCATCCCCCTATCCACCAAGGCTTGTGATAGGCGCTTGAACCTCCTAGTGAAGGCCACCAAGCTTTCTTGTTCCCCCCTTGTCACCCGGCGTAGTCCTTCTATTGTCGGGATCAAGTTATCGCAAGCGAAGATCCGCAAAAGGTCATTCTTGAAGGTCTTCCACCTTCCGTCTACCGGGTATATCCCCCTGATGGCCTGGTCCGAGTGTTGTATGAAGTGGTCGATCCACTCCTTCTCCGAAAACGTTTTTCGGTACGCATAACTTTCCCATTTCTCGACGAATCCCGTCACATCTCGGCCATTGAAATAGAGTGCCTTGAGGCCCAGGTGGACATCATAGTAAGGGGGACTCGTCGATCGTCGTATCGACGGAAGTAGGGCCCTTCCGCCGGCCCATCTATCACTGGGTCATAGGGTTTGTACCAAGCGGGGTCTAGTTCCTCCATCCGAGGTCGATCTCTTGGAGGTCCCCAGAGCTCCTCCACACAGCGCCCCCTTTCGCTCGGATCTTCGTGTTCCCAACGTGCGGGTTTTTGGCCTCTAAACCCCCTCCAGACATCTTCGAATCCCCCCACATCTCTTCCTACCGCTTCCTTGTGTACCCATGCGAAACCGGTCTCTCTCCCAACCCATCTTCGTGATCCTCCCCCAATTTATGTTGGTCCTTCATCTGCCAGTTCTCTCCTCCTTAGGCCCCCTTCTTCGTCCCTCCTAGGTGTCCAGCATCCAGCCCTATCGCACGGGAACTCTTGCCCCTCGACGGCTCTTTCTTCCGCGTCCACTTGACAGGCCCATGGGGTCTTGACCGGGAAGCTCTTCGAAGTTTCCGCCATCCTTTCTCTTACTGATATCCGTGGCTCCACCTCCCGGTGCAAACGCTCCTTGGTCCCCGCTCGTTGTCCTGCAGTTTTCTCTCCGGGAAACGCCTCCATGCTCCTTGAGGCCTTGCCCATAGTTTCCATCCCCTCGATCACTCCCTCGGTTGTCTTGCTCAACCTTGCCCCTAATTCGGTATCTTCCTCGGCTCGCCCCATGCCAGCGGTCTCAGGTGGTCGGGCGAATCCGCGCTCCCCCTCGCTTTTCATGCACCCCATCACCAATCTCTAGTCACTTTCCTCGCCAGTGTCAACTCCCTGCCCTTCCGCTTCGTCACTTTCTTCAGAGCTTCCTCCCTCTCCACTTGACCCCTGATCCCCGCTATTGCTCGCTGATTCTTTGCTAGTTACTGTCCACCAAGAATCTCGCACCCGTTTTTCTTCGTACACAACTAACGCTAGGTTGGCAACCTCCAGATCGGAAATTGCTCTAATCCCTTCTTGAGAACATCGCCTAATCAGTTCCCTATCCACTTCGCCTGCCTGTCCCCGAAACAGAGGCGTGATGAACTCTTCGACTAATGCCCACCACTCGAAGTATGTATGTTCTAGAGACTCCCAACAGCGGGTGAACAACTCGTGTCCCTTCTCTTCTCATAGGGGGAATTTTTTAATTATTTGTCCTCTATTTTGGACCTTCCTCACTGTGGCGTCGTCGGGATAGAGCAAACGGTAGGCCCAAGTAGGGACTTCCCAGATCTGATCGTGGGCTGCACGCGGGATTTCCAACCTCCCCCGATACTCAACTCTATCTAGCACGCATTCTACAGCGGGGCCCCCTCTCAAGCTCCTAAGTCGTTCCAGGGCTCTTCGGGCGATACCTAGTGGGTCCTTACCTTCCGCTAATTTGGTCGCGAAAACCAGTCTATTGTAGCGAGACAGAAAGATTTCGGCTTTCTGCGTGTGGATTCCTTCTCTGGAAACCACCGAAAAATGAACAATTGTCTCATGTCCGTAGATCTAAAAAAACTAAGTAATAGCTTCCCCCTCTTCTCTAATTTGGGGAGGGTCACGCCGTATCTACCCCCGACCTTCCAAGCTCGCTCTAAGGATCCGACAGGGTTCCCCCTGTCGTATCTAATCATTGACAGTTCTACCTCACCCTGGACAATCTCTCGGCCACTTCTGCCAAGAAATCCTCACACTTCCCCCGCGCGCCCTCGCCTTGGTCGTGTATCATTCGTTCTAAGGCCTTTTCGTACTCCCCCGTTCTATCCTAGAACCGGGCCTCAACCAGGTGCAACCTAGCTTCGAAGAGAGTCCCCAACCACCTAGCGTCTTCCTCAAATTTTCTTTCGACTTCTATCAACGGTTCTCTCCACGTCCTAGAGAACCGCACCCGTCCCGCCTCACTAACAAAAATTGAAAATCGAGCTAGTGTGGTTCAGGACCTTCTTTTCCACAAAGCTAATCGCCGGACTTCGACAAGGAATTCCTTCTCGGCTTGAGCCGCTTGGTTCTCTCAAAGACCAAGGGCGAGCTCCGCAACTCCCTCTATTTCCACCTCGGGGCCGTCGTCACGAGTCTCTAGCTCCCAAGTCACCGAGTTAGAGGTGAAGCGCGTTCTCATACCGATCTCTCTCCCGAGAGGAGCTCTTCCCTTAACTCGTCGAATACTTTAACTTTCGCTACCTCCAGCGACTTAATCATGCGTAACGACCCCGACCTAACTCTTCTTTTCTCTTCCCTGCAAAGGGTCAGAACCCTATACAATTTCGCCCTTACCCTCTCTAGACCCACTAGCTCTCCGCCGTCAGGCTCGCTCATGCCTCAAGTTCCTCTGGCGGCACGCAATCGCGATCCGAATGAGATTCGAGGGGTCCAATCCTTCCAACCCCGCCTCACAGATTTTCCCCAAGTACCTCCACGAAATGGTCGACACCCTCACGTGTTGGCCCCAACCATCGAAGGCGTCGCCCAGGTCCTCTATAAGGACCAATCGTCCTGGTATGGGTTTCTAAAGCACCACGATAGCACGGCGTGCAGGTCCGATTTCGTGAACCAAAGTTGGTTCAAGATCGAGATCCTACGCCCTACTGCCCTCTTGACCGCTTCGGAGGGGTAGACCCGCTCAAGGATCAAACGAGGGACTCCTACGGGGTCACTGGCGACAAATAGCGGTACCTCTCCCCAGCCCGCGTATTTCACTTGATATACCCTTTCCGTACAGCTTGCGCGTCTAAGAAAGGGTCTTC